AGAGTTGTAATTTTCTTAATTTTTCATTGTAATTCTCTGTAAAGAATCTAAGTTTTAATGGAATCATCAATGAAAACAACTTTCGACGAAAACATATGGGGATAGGTTTGGATGTAGATGACCTTGCCTTATCACGTGTGCAAGCCTCTGAAACTGATGTGAAACGACTCCTCGTCGCCAAACGTCGTAGATCTCGCCTTTTTTCTCGCTTCTCACTTCACAAGACGCTCCCAAAATTTCAACTTTAGGGCTAGGGTTTGAGAGAGAGGAAGAGGGACTGCTACGGTTTGAAACTCTGATGAAAATATGATAATTTTCGTGAAAACACACACACATACACACACACACACACACACACTAGGAAAATAACCTTCGGTATTTTGACTGTAACTTTTTCATCCTACCTCAGAATGAGGTGATTTAAGATTTGTTAGAAAGCTGTTGAAGAGACCTACAATTTTGGTCTTTTGGGTTTTCTAGATTCAAACTGCATCGATGTGTAAAATATATAAAATCTTAACTGGTTATTTTTCCAGATTTCTCTTCGTGCATATTTTGTGCATTTGCACTCTTATATTCATAAATATACATTAATTGATCTCAAATAAATTCCTATCATACTCAAACATCAAAATATATTATATTTTCATAATATAATATATTTATTATTATTTTTCACATAATATTCAAATTTTTAGGGTTTTACATTCTTCCCCTTTAAAAAGAATTTCATCCCCGAAATTTCGCAATCGTATCCTAGAGATTAATAATATCAGAAAAGCACATTGAGGGGATAATCCAGATAAGGAAATCCTCATATACACATCTCGTATCATTAATCTTCAAATATGAAACATAAAAATATTTACACTTAACAATCTAGAATGATAATATTCTTACTCAACCCCTAACTAGATGGAACTAGTACGTCGGGCGAAAAATCTAAACAAGGAACCCCCCATATATATACCATGTGTTCCGAGTGATTAGGAGTTAAGTGTTAATACCTCCATTCTAGCGTTAAATATGAATATAACTATATAAAAAATCCATAAATATCAATCAAAATTAATCAACCCACCTGCTTAAACAAGTGCGGGTAGTCGCGATGCATAACATATTCACGCCCCCGAAAATTATCATCGATATCTATACTTAACGATCTAAAATGCAGATACTCCCAGTTAACCCCTAACTAATCAGCCACGAATCAGCATCTGAATTTTGCTCAGCCTCTTTGAATGTAATAGGCACCATATCATCGATACTCTCCACCAAAAGTGCATACGTAACTACTGCATCTGTATATCATGCTAGTATTCATATGTCTCTCCTCTATCTTCGAACTGTAATAGAATTCTGAACCTGAGCCGTTGGTCCCTAATCTTGCTCGCCTGACGTCACCTCAGTTGGCACTCTAATGGACACGGTACCACCTGGATACTGTTGAGTTACATCAATCTCCACCACCTGCGATATCTTCTCTGTCTGGGTGCTCTCCACCTGGTGAGAGCTGGGAAGCTTCAAGATAGAGGCCTCATCAAAAGAAATGTCTCTACTCAGCATGATCTTCTTATCCACTAGATCCCATAACTTGTATCCCTTGACACCACGCTTGAATCCTATAAATATGGTCTTCCTAGCTTGAGGTTCCAATTTATCTGTTCTAACATGATAAAATGCAGGGCACCCAAATACCTTAAGCTGGTCATAGTCATGTGTTGGCTCTCCCGACCACATCTTATGCTTTATTCTTATGCTTCATGGTGTATACCCAACGATGTTTAGAATAGTCATCAACAAATGTGACGAACCAATGTCGACCACCAAGTGATGCAGTCTTGGTGGGATCCCAAACAACTGTGTGCACGTAATCCAGGATGCCCCTCAATCTTTGGATGGCTGTCCCAAACTTTACCTTCGTCTTCTTTCCAAGAACAAAGTACTCACATAACTCAATCTTCCTATTCTTGGCTCCCTTCAATAGCCCCTGCATGCACAAAACCTGCAGTGACTTTTTTCTGTGTGCCCTAACCTGTAGTGCTAAAATCTACTCATGTTCGCCTCTGAAATAGCTGAAGCTACCTGGCCAATCTTGGTGCTACCCTCAAGATAATACAAGTTTTGACTGCGGACTCCCTTCATCACAACCAAAGATCCCTTAGTAACCTTTGCTAAAGCATCTTTAAAGGTCACCTTGAATCCCTTTGCCTCCAAAGCTCTAACAGAAATAAGATTCTTTTTCAGCTAAGGAATAAATCTCACCTTTTTTAATTCACGGACTACTTCATTGTGCATCCGAATCCTCATGATACCTATCCTATAAATACCATAGGATTAATTATTTCCCATGATAACAACACCCCATCGAGTCTCTCAAATGATGCAAACCAATCTCGCCTGGGAGTCACATGATAAGTAGCGCAAGAATTAAGCATCCAATCTGATGCATCCACATGGTTCACATCCGGAGTAATCAATAGAGAAAAGCTTGAATCATCGGAATCATCGCCTTTCGCAACATTCACCTCATTGATCATCGGGCCCTTCTTCTTGCTATTCTCCTTCTACTTGAGCTTCGGACAGTCTCTCTTCCAATGTCCATGTTCCTTGCAGAACACACAATGGTTCTTAGCTAACTGGTGATGGCCTCTAGACTTCGAATTGCTCCTATTACCACCTCTCAGGTATGGGTTTCTACCTCTCATCGACAAGGCCTCTCCTGAAGTACTAGCGCGGAAAGTCTCGTTGTCCTTCCTCCTCAAATCATAGTTCGTCAAAACATTAGTAACTTCACTATATGTGATAGAAGATCTCTCGTTCAATAGAAGATCTCTCGTTCAATAAGGTAAGCACGAAGGTATCATACTCCTCATCCGGTTAGGAGCCCAAAAGAATAATTGCCTTATACTCATCCATGATCTTCTCATCCATGTTCACCAAGTCCGACAACAACTTCATATAGTTGTTCACATGAACTACAAGCGAGGTACCCCTAAACATCTGAAATCTGAACAATTTTTGTAACAAGTATAAACGGTTCTCAATACTCTTCGTAAGATACTTATTATTGAGAATCTCCCACATCTTCATTGCAGACGTCACCCCAATCACATCATACTTTAGTCCATGTTCCAAACAGGACCTGGTCACCCCACAAAAGTTCCTATTCATCTTTTCTTATATCGCCTCTTCATATTTTGGTGGCCTCTCATGGACCATGGTGGTCTCCTCCAAATTCTGAGCATTGAGCGCATCTTGTACGTCGCTCATCCACAAACCAAAATTGATCTTGCCGTTAAATTTAACCACACTAATCTTGATGTTCTGAAAACCAACTTGATCAACTATACCTGCCATCTTGTTGTCTTCATCAACTTCTTCACCCATACTCATAGATTCCAATTACAAAGAAAGATCCAAACTTTGATAGAATTAAGAAGTTACCCAACTGAACCCTAGATTGGATTCCAAATAGATCTCCTAACCACACGAGGTAACGAAATCTTCAATGGCAACTCCATAACGCTATCTCCACTGAAACCTAAAATTCTAAGAACTAAGCTTCCACTATGAATCTTGCTCCACCCAATGTCAAAACCCTAGATCTGAAACCCTAGAGCTCTGATATCAAATTGTTGCGCACCTTTGCGGAAGCGTGCTCGCACACCGAACGAGTCCATAAGCCACGGGAGAAGATTAACAAACCAAACACGAGCACAATCCAAACAAATACGACAAACCAATCGCAGAGAAGATTAACAAACCAAACACGAGCACAATCCAAACAAATACGACAAACCAATCGCAAACACAGAGATATACGTGGTTCAGCACAATCCAAACAAATACGACAAACCAATCGCAAACACAGAGATATACGTGGTTCGGCAATTTGTCTACGTCCACGGGGAGAGGATATAGATATTTCACTATATCGAAGAGAGTACAAAAGGCATACAATAATTTAAACACTCGAACGAACCCTAACCAATGATCTCTCAAATCGTTCACGATTTCTCCCTCTCAAAGTGCTCAGAATACTCTCTATTCTTTGATAAACAAAACCCTAAAATCGTGTATCTATTTATATTAAACTGCAAACCCAAATAGAACCGAAAACTGAAAACCAGGCCCAAACCCAACGCGCGGTCGACCGCCAAGTCTTCGCGGTCGACTGGACAGAACACAGAAAAATCACCTTTGAGTTTACAGGGTGGACGTCCGCGGTCGACCACACCATTGGTCGCGGTCAACAGAACAAAAATCTAGAAACTACCATGTACTCGTGCATGTTTCCAGTCGACCGCACCCTTGGTCGCGGTCGACTGGACAGAAACAAAACCTGCCCGACTGTAATTTCCTGAATATTGTTGTTTCTCTTCACAATTTTGTTAGCATAATATGTTCAATTAACCGTTTCTACATTGATTAACTATGTTTAAGTTGAGAGGACATGTTAATTTCACATAACCCCGAAACTTTGGAGGGTGTTGTACGCAACCCTCTAAACTTTGCTTATCTCACTTAACCCCTCTAAACTATTGGGTGTCTTGCAAACCCCCCTAAACTTTCGCTTCTTACTCACCTAACCTCCCTTGGTTGCAATTTGCAAATAACTAAAATATCTTTGAGTGAAAAATGTCCAAACTATGTCACCTGTCATTTAAAGGCCGCATACTCCTTCCCCTAAAGTTTGAGCTTTTTTCATTCTCAAGAAAAATTTAATGCCATAGTTCCCAGGGTGAGGAGGGTGGTTAAGTGAGAAAAATAAAGTTTAGGGGGGCTATGTGCACCCCCGCCCCCAACAAAAGCTCAGGTGGTTTTTATGAAATTAACCCTTCAGAGGACAGCACTACAACTTAGAGGGCATATTCTAAAATAGGAAGAAGAAATCATAGAAATATAACTTTCAGAAATAAAGTTTCTGTCAAAAATCAAATATTTAGAATCTCAAAACTTATAACTTTTGCTTCTTGGGGAGAGATAGGGAAGAGTACCTTCGGAGCCAATTGAGGACAGTTTTAAGCTTGGAATATTTGAAGAAACTGTAGCTCTCAGACCTCTGGTCATCAGAGAGTATCAGAATGGAGGAGGAAGTCTAGGCGACTGCCGCTTGACATCCGCCAAATGGTTAGGCCATGTGTCCATGAGGGTTTTGGAAAATTGTTGTCAAAACAAATCCGATGTTAGTTGGCTGGATACGGAACATTATTAAGTGGTGTGTGTGGTGGGCGCAAGGGGGGGGCGGGGGGGCCCGCACCTTTTTTTTTTTCAAAAAAGTAGCCATCATGCCCCTATGCTCAGTTAAAAGATGGCAGTTAACATTTACAGTTGGAAATGTTATGATATAATTAGGGCTATTATTATTATTTTTGGGTCTAAACACGTGTCCCAACCATACATTGGAGATGAGACTAATTCTATTTGGGGTTGGTGGCTGCCTCTCCCAACAAGTGTCACTTTTAGACTTTGAATTCTTGTCAGTAGCTCGCTGGACCAGCTTGCCTGTCACTGGGTGCCTTACTTTGCTTGCTGGCTCTAAGCCCAACAACTTGTTGGTATATAATTAGGGTTATTAGCATGTTGGGGATTCGAAATAATCAAATCAAATCTGTATCCTTCCGGATCTTGTGTTTGAGAGTTGAGCAAGAAATAAATTTACCACAAATCAAAGATAAAAACTTGTAGGAAAGTAAACAAGAAAGAACACACCAGATTTAACGAGGTTCGATAACGTGCCTACGTCCTCGGGAGCCACACCACACAATTCTTTGATTACTTGAAGAAGATTATAATGCTTGCAATTGGCCTCTCTCTCTCTCAGATTTCTAATCTCAAAGAGCCCTCAAAACCCTCATTTTCGTGCTCTTTTTCTCTCTTAAACCCTAAAGTGACGTGTTTCTATTTATAACAAAACATAATTCCAAACAGATTAGGATTCTAAAACGAGTCTGCCATACCCTGGTGTAGCAGACACCACACCCATGGTAGACAGGGCAGACTCTGCCACACCAGGGTGTGGCAGACACCACACCCATGGCAGACAGGGCAGATTCTGCCACACCAGGATGTGGCAGACACCACACCCATGGCATGTCTTGAATTTTCATGCGATTGTTGATTTTGATTCTAGGTTTGGGTTTCCACTCTCAAGACCAACAATCTCCCACTTGGAGATCAAACCACCATCAATGAGCTCTCCCGAACTCTGCCTTCTTCGCAAGCATCTTCTCCTACTTGGAAAAATCCATTCTTCAATCATCAACATCCCGATGATCTCGCTGATCCTCGTAGTGTGGCTCCGCCTTCGTCTTCTACTCGTGAAGGCCAACTGAAGTTACGTACAACTTCAGTTTCTCAATGGTGAGTGTCTTCGTCAACATGTCCGTCAGATTTTGACTCCCTAAAATCTTCATTAAATGTAACTTTCGGTCTTCAACTAGTAAGCGTATAAAATGGTATTTGACATTGATGTGCTTCGTTCTGACATGATATACTGGATTCTTGGTAAGATGTATAGTGCTCTGACTGTCACAATAAAGAACTCCTCTCCCTTGCTTCAAATCCAACTCTTCCAAGCACCTGTTCAACCAGATCATCTCCTTTCTTACTTTGATCACCATGACATACTCAGCCTCGGCTGTAGATAAAGTCACAATCTTCTGCAGACGTGAGACCCAGCTCACTGATGTCGACGCTAAGGTATAAACATACCCCGTGGTGCTTCGCCTCGTATCATGATCACCGGCGAAGTCCGCATCAACGTATCCCTGCAGCACCAACTCCTTCCTACTAAAACATAGTGGTTTATTTGTTGTTCCCCTTAAGTACCGCAATATCCACTTCACGGCCTCCCAATGCTGCTTTCCTGGATTGCTAGCATACCTGCTCACAACTCCCACTGCATGGGCGATGTCCGGCCTCGTGCAAACCATCGCGTACATGAAACTCCCAATGGCCGAAGAATATGGCACCCTGCTCATATGCTCTCTATCTGCATCTGTCTTAGGCGATTGCTCCTCAGATAGCTTGAACTGACTTCCAAAGGGTGTGCTAATAACTTTAGCATTCTGCATGTTGAACCTCTGAAGTACCTTCTCAATGTATTCAGCTTGGCTCAATCTCAATTTCCCTCCAGCTTCATCCCTACTGATTCGCATCCCTAGAATCTGCTTCGCTGTACCCAGATCCTTCATTGCAAACTTCTTTGCTAGCTGCTTCTTCAAACTGTTTATTTTCTCTAAACATGGTCCTGCTACCAATATGTCATCAACATATAATAACAAAATAATAAAGCTGGACTCGAACCTTTTGAAATAACAGCAATGATCCGAATTGCATCTTCTGTAGCCATTGTTCTGCATGAAATTATTAAACTTCTTATACCACTGTCTCGGAGCCTGTTTCAAACCATATAAGCTCTTCTTAAGCTTGCACACCGTCTCTTCCTTTCCTTCTTCAATGAAGCCAACAAGTTGCTTCATGTAGATTTCTTCATCCAAGTCACCATGAAGAAAAGCAATCTTCACATCTAACTGCTCAAGAAAGAGGTCTTCTGCAGCCACCAAACTCAATACCACTCTGATGGTTGTGAGCTTCACAACAGGAAAAAATATCTCCATATAGTTCACTCCTTCCCACTGTTGAAACCCCTTCACTACTAATCTGATATTGAATCTCTTGCTTCCATCACTCTCTTGCTTGACCCGGTAGACCCATTTGTTATGTAAGGCCTTCTTCTGTACAGGTAGCTAGGATAACTCCCATGTCTCATTAGTGAGTAGAGAATCCATCTCCTCCTGTATCGCATGCTCCCACTGTTGAGATTCACTCACTTGCATTGCATCTTCATAGCACTCCGGCTCACCGCTATCTATCAACAATAAGTAGTCAAGAGATGAAAGATATCTGGGATTTGGTTTGGGTACCTTGGATGACCTTCTAAGCTCCATGCCCTGGGTAGTTTCTTCTGCATCCTCCATTCTCTGATCATAACAAACATCATCATCCCTATCTGGAAGTTCCTCTATATCCATGTACTTAGATCCATTTGTATCTAAAATACTGCTCCCACTGCTTTGGCTATCCTTAGCATCTTCCCTGTTCTTGTACATCACCTCCTCATTGAATATCACGTCCCTGCTTCTGATGATCTTCCTGTTCTTCTCATCCCAAAGGCGATACCCGAACTCATCAATGACGTATCCAATGAATGTGCACTTCTGTAACTTAGCTTCTAACTTATCTCTGACATAGTCACTGATATGAACATAAGCCACGCAACCAAATACCCTCAAGTGTGAGAGATTTATCTTCTTTCTACTCCAAACCTCCTCTGGAATCCCAAAATCTAATGGAACTGATGACCCGTGATTAATAAGGTAAGCTGTCGTATGCAACGCATCCGTCCAAAATATCTTAAGCAGACCTGCATACAATCGCATGCTCCTAGCACGCTCTGTCAAGGTTCTGTTCATCCTCTCTGCAATGTCGTTCTGATGCGGCATCCCTGGAGTAGTCCTCTCTAAGCGAATATCATTTATAGCACATAACCTCTTGAACTCCTCCAGCTCGTATTCTCCACCATTGTCTGATCTCAAACATTTCACCTTCAGATCTGTCTCGTTCTCCACCATGGCCTTCCACTTCTTGAAGATTCCAAACACCTCTGACTTGTGCTTCATGAAGTAGATCCACACCTTCTTCGAGTGATCGTCGATGAATGTGACATAATATCTCGAACCGCCAAAAGATGATACACTGGCTGGGCCCCATACATCTGTATGAATCAACTCTAGCTTCTGAGCCTTAGGTGACCTTCCACCCTTCTGGAAACTAACTCTCTTCTGCTTCCTAAAGACGAAGTCTTCACAAACCCCAACTTCCACGGAGTCGATCCCGGTTAGCTTTCCCTGTGAATGTAAGATCTTCATCCCCTTCTCACTCATGTGTCCTAGTCTGTTGTGCCACAGATCTGTACTCTCTTTTTCAGCTGTAATTGCGAGGGTGTCACTCGCATGTAAGATGAGGTAGAGAGTTCCTAGTTTGTTACCTCGAGCAACTATCATAGTATCGTTAGAGATTTTCCATGAATCCCCTGTGAATGTAGAAACATAGCCTTCTGCTCCAAGCTGTCCCATCGAAACAAGATTCTTCTTCAGTTTCGGCACGTGTCTTACGTTCTTCAAGGTCCACTTAGAGCCCTTCATCTGAATCTGTACTTCACCCTTTCCAATAATATTACAGGGCTCGTTATTCCCCAAATACACCTTTCCAAAGTCCTCTGCTACATAATTCTGAAAGAGCTTCCTGTTAGCAGTGGCGTGGAAAGAGGCTCCTGAATCGATGACCCAAGAATCCGAGTCGCTATCCATAGCAAGGATCAAGGCATCCTGCACGATATGAGCCTCCTGCTCACCCGTATCCTTCTTTAGACTCTTGCAGACTGAAGACATATGGCCCTCCTGGTCGTAGTTCCAACACTTCCCTTTGATAGGCCTAACCTTCGAGTTTGACCTCTTCTTCACTAATTTCGACCGATTCCTGTTCTGGTTTCCTTTCTTCTGGCTTCTGCCTCTCTGCTCGAAACTTAGAGCTGAACCTGAACCTTCTGATTCGGAAGATTTCCTTCTAACCTCCTCAGATAGAATCATGCTAACAACCTCACTCAGCTTCAACTTCTCCTTTCCCGCCGAATTGCTGATTGCTGTCACACAACCTGCCCAACTATCCGGCAACTGCGATAGAATCAATAGGGCTTGCACTTCGTCATCAAATGTGATGCCCATGAAGATAAGCTGATCAACAATTATGTTGAACTCGCTAAGGTGCATCGTGAAGGACTGTCCTTCTACCATCTTGAGGTTGAAAAAAGTTTTGATGAGATGCACCTTTTTGCTGCCGACGGTTGCTCGTACATCTTCGCGAGCGCTTACATAAGCTCCACCGTCGTCTTCTCCTTCAAAATATTGTGAGCTACTGATTTGGCGAGCGAAAACCGAATTTTCCCTAGAGCCTTCCTATCCAGTATCTCTCAATCACCATCTGACTCCTCTTTCTTCTGTCCCTTTTTCTTGCCCATCAACGGGCGATACAAGTCCTTCTGGTACAGATAGTCCTCCATCTGCAACTTCCAGTAGGCGAAGTATGAACCGTCAAACTTCTCAATCTTAGATTTGATTTCCTCTGTCATGGCTCTCTTTCTCACAAATTTGCTGAACGAAGCTCTGATACCAGTTATTGGGGATTCAAAATAATCAAATCAAATCCGTACCCTTCCGGGTCTTGTGTTTGAGAGTTGAGCAAGAAAGAAATTTACCACAAATCAAAGATAAAAACTTGTAGGAAAGTAAACAAGAAAGAACACATCAGATTTAACGAGGTTCGGTAACGTGCCTACGTCCTCGGGAGCCACACCACACAATTCTTTGATTACTTGAAGAAGATTACAATGCTTGCAATTGGCCTCTCTCTCTCTCTCTCTAAGATTTCTAATCTCAAAGAGCCCTAAAAAACCCTCTTTTTTCGTGCTCTTTTTCTCTCTTAAACCCTAAAGAGACGTGTTTCTATTTATAATAAAACATAATCTCAAACAGATTAGGATTCTAAAACGAGTCTGCCATATCCTGATGTGGCAGACACCACACCCATGGCAGACAAGACAGACTCTGCCACACCAGGGTATGGCAGACACCACACCCATGGCATGTCTTGAATTTTTATGCGATTGTTGATTTTGATTCTAGGTTTGGGTCTCCACTCTCAAGACCAACAATTAGCACTTTGATTCCTAAATTTTACATTTTTTTTAATTTTAATGCCTAAAAGTTTTTAATTAGCACTTTGATATCTCAAAATTTATATTCTTTTACTTTGAGACCTCAAATTTTTCTAACACTTTGATAAGAAAAGTATACACCTTTTTAGCTTTTGATATCACAAAGTGTTGTTTTTGACACTTTGATACTGAAAGTTTTCAAAGTGTTTTATTTCTTTTTCTTTTGCAAAACAGTCGCTTGCTTTGTTAGAAAACAATTAATTTTACAGTTAGCTGCTGGACCAAAGTTTATATCTTTTTTACTTTGGTAACTAAATATTTTTTGACATCTTGATACCTTAAAGTTTTTACTTTTTTAACATTGATACTTTTTTAACATTGATACCCTATAGTTTTTTCCCAACAGTTTGATATCATAAAATTTACACCTTTTAGAACTTTTTTTTTGAACCAGAAAAACAGGGAGAGGTTCCCTGTTTATATATGTATATATTTATCAAAAAGATGGAAGAGTTTACATGACAAGCCAAAAAGAGGATGATGAGAACCAATAGATGATATGGTAGGTGGGGAGCGGACCTTGTCGTCACCCACCAAACCAGATCAAAAACGATTCCTAACATCCCGTAAAATGGAAAAACTTACACAGACAAGTTTATAGGTTAAGTTGACAAAATAAAACAGAAGTAACAACTACTGTTATCTCCAAGGCCCAAAAGGAGAGCAAGTAAGAGGATGATCCTGTTAGAAGTTGTCCCCAACTCCATCCTCCTTGGTGACTTTGGCTAGATCCTTCAAGCCGAGACCAATCGCCGCTTTGTGCATTTTTGATACCCTTCTGCTTGATGATGCTCCTGTCCAGAACAAGGGGAAACGTGCAACATGAGATGCAATGATCAAAGGAGAAGAAACTACCCCATTAAAAATCTTGTTGTTTCTGCTAAACCAAATTCTCCAACAACAACTAGGTAGTAGAACTCTCCATATACATCTAACGTGATAGTCAGTGGAATGATCAAGGGACCCTGAAAGGAGCGCTGACATATCTTGCGGCCATACATCAGAGTGTTGGTTGGGTGCGACCAAGGACCAAACCTCTCTAATAACTGAACATTTAGTAAAAAGGTGATCATGGGTCTCATTTGCAGAATTGCATAATGGACATGAGGTGTCGCCAATCCAACCCTTATTAGACAACACATCCTTCGTTTGAAGCTTCTGGTGACTAAGAATCCAGAGAAAAATCTTGACCTTATGAGGAGTGGGTGATTTCCAAATAAAATTGAATAAATGGAAGGAGATACCCCCTGATACTAGAAATCTGTAGCATGAGTTCACAGTGAATTCTTTGGATGAATGAAGAGGCCAGCAAACCTGATCCTGGGCTTGAAGATTGGGAACCTTAGCTTGATCAAGAAGGGCATACAGGAGGTTGATGTCTTCTCTACTATCTGAGGAGTTACCTCTCCTGATAATGGGGGTGCCACTTCCACACATTGTTGATGAGGGCACCTTGGGAGAGGACTGAGCTAGTATGAGAGAAAGCAAGATGATAGACTCTTGGGAAAAGGCTCATGAGGGTGTTTGCACCCATCCATTTATCATGCCAGAATCTACAAGAAGCTCCGTCTCCAATATTCCACTGAACCTGACTAAAGAAAGTGTCGTGAATAGCATAGAGGTTTTTGATCAGATTTGAGGCTGAAGCCTTAGGAGGGTTAACTAAAGGGTTGGACGAGTTAACTGAGTAAATAGACCAAATGACCTTGCTAAGGAAAGAGTTGTTGGCACTGATTTTCCATACCCATTTAGAGAGAAGGGCCTGATTGAAACAGTTCATATTGATGACTTCTAAACCCCTCTCAACCTTAGGTTTACAAACGGTGCCCCAGTTGATAAGACTTTTGGGTTTGTTGGTTTGGGGATAGCAGCCCCACAGAAAATTTCTTCTAATTCTGTCAATGGCCTTGATGAGCCAGGATAGGAGCTTAAAAAAAGACATATAGTATAGAGGGATAGATGATAGAACAGAATTTAGGAGAGTGAGTCTACCACCTATTGACAGGGATTTGTGTTTCCACAGGGACAGTTTTTTAGAGAAGGAGTCGAGGAGAGGTTGCTACTCTCTTTTGGAGAGAGAACCCCTTTTGAGAGGAAGGCCGAGATAAGAGAATGGAAGAGTACCAAGAGAACAATTAAGACTGTCAGCAAGAGAGATACCCTTATTAGGAATTCTACCAAGGTAATGGAGGTGAGTTTTGGACTGATTCATGGATAGACCAGAGATAAGACCAAAGATGTGGAGGATTCTTTTGAGAGTATGAATGTCTTTACATGAGGCTCTACAAAAGATGAGGGTATCGTCTGCAAACTGGAGGGTTCTAATATTGTTTAGTTCCCCTTTCAAATTAAGGTTAGAGAGGTCTCCAGAGAGAGCACTGGCTGAGATCATCTTACTCAGGACATCTACTATCAGCAAGAAGAGGAGGGGGGAGAGGGAGTCACCCTGTTTAAGGCCCCTATGACAGCGGAAGAAAGCAGTAGGTGAGCCATTAACTAAGACAGCAGACTTAGCTGAGGATAGAATATTAAGGATCCAGGTGCACCATAAGTCACTGAACCCTCTGGCTTTGAGGAGGATGAGGAGAAAATCCCAGTTAACACAATCGAATGCTTTGAAAAAATCTACTTTAATGGCACAAAGTTCTTTTTTGCCTGAGGAACAGAAGTTTATCATCTCATGGGCAAGGAGGATGGAATCAAGGGCAGATTTGCCTTTTTGAAAGGCTGATTGGGAATTATCAACTAGAGAAGGGATAAGGGGGCTGAGTCTATTGGATAAGATTTTGGAAAAAAATCTTAACTGAGCTATTGATAAGGCTAATGGGTCTGAAATCAGCTGGGGAACTGGCCCCATCAAATTTAGGGATAAGGGTGATATAGGAGTAGTTAATGTTGTGAAGGGGGAGGGAATTAGAGTGTAGAGATTGGATGAAAGGGATGAGGTCCTTGTGAATGGCTGGCCAGAATTTTTGAAAGAAGAGGATTGGAAGACCATCAGGCCCAGGAGCCTTCTCAGGATGTAAGTCAAAGACAGCTTTTTTGATTTCAGTGGCTGAGAAAGGGGAGTCTAAAAGAGAGAGATCTGGAGATTGGTTTGGGAGAAGCTTGGTCCAGTTGATAGTAAGATTTGGTCTCTCATTGGCTTTGAATAAGTTAGAAAAGAAGGAAAGAAAGGCCTGTTTGATGTCAACTTCTGATGAGAGGATGATATGATCAATCTGAAGATAGGGTATGAAGTTAACTCTCCTTCGATGGGATGCCATTTTATGGAAGAAGGAAGAGTTGTTATCCCCCTCTTTGAGCCACTGAATCCTAGATCTTTGTTTCCACTTGGTTTCTTCAACTAGAGCCATATTGAGGAGCTGATCTCGAAGCTGGGATCTGAGGGAGAGGTCGGAAGGAGAGAGGGGATGGACTTCTTCAAGTCGATTTAGAGCATCTAGGGCCTCCATAACTGAGGATTTTAGAATGTGAGAAGATCTATAGAAATCCTTTTTCCACCATTTCATTCTCTTACGGATGAGCTTGATTTTGAGAGGAAAAGAGATGGACGGATTACCTGGGGAGAAAAAGGACTCCCAGCAAGAAAGAATGAAAGGGACAAATGCTTGGTTGAGAAGCCAAGCCTTTTCAAACCTGAAAATTTTAGATGGAGGAACACCACCTGAATCTAAGATGATGGGACAATGATCTGAACATGGAGATTGGTAAGCAAATTGAATGAGAAGGGGGAATTTTGATTCAAAGTCTTGGGATATGAAGAATCTATCGAGTCTAGCAAGAGAGGGGTTAGACCTTTGGTTTGACCATGTGAATTTTCTACCACTCATAGGGAGATCAATGAGTTGCAGTGAATCAATGAGATCCTTAAAGAGAGAGATATCTCGCAAAGAGCTTGATCTACCACTCATTTCGTCTAGGCTTAAGGTCATATTAAAATCACCAAAAACTACCCAGGGTAAGGAAATAGAAGATCTAAGATTAGAGAGCTCCCACCAACAAACTTCTCTTTCAGAATTATCGTGGGGGGGCATACACTGAAGTTGCTACGAAAGACCAGTTAGAGTTAAGGAGAGTGAGATATGCTGTGACACAGAAGATACCAATGCTAGATGAGGAGCATGAGATAGAAGAGTTCCTCCATCCTAGAAGAATGCCACCTCTAGACTCAATAGCGTCTAAGGAAATCCAAGAGAAGATGTTATTGGGGCCCAAACTGTTAAGAACTCTAGGGGAGGTAAAGTTGAGCTTAGATTCTTGGAGACCTACCATATCAAGATTGGCCAGTTGAATATTTTCCTTCACTAATCTCCTTTTGATAGAGTTGTTCAAACCTCTGACATTCCATGATCCAACCTTCATAGAAGAAGATATAGGCAACCTACAACTTGAATGACCACCGAAGTTAGTGGTTATTCTTCTCTACATTGTCTAGAGATTGAATGGCAATCAGGCTAGCACGATCAATAGGTTCCTCTATCCCACAATTAATAGCAATACCATGAATATATTCTATGCTATTAAGAGAATAGGAATAAGCAGAAGATTGAGATTTCTCACTTGTCTAACTCCTGCCGTTTACACTCTTTCTCATAATGGTAGAGCTTCCTGTGAGGCAGCAGAGAGAGATGTCTTCTGGAGGTCTTCTTCTTTGAGGATTTCTTGATATGTTCAAAGCCCGATGGAGGAGCGGACGACGAAGCGACATCCAGAGAATCTGAAGAGCTAGATAACTGTACCGGGGGGGGTCTGGTTATTTGAGAAAACCGGCACTGGTGCGGCTGATGAAGAAGATGGAAAAGATGCTGAGAGACGGAGCCAGGATTCCTTAGCAATTATCAGAGGCACCCCCCTAAAAACTACCTCTATCATGTCCACAGGAGACTGAGCTTGTTGAGGTAGAGGAGGATTGGCCGAACTGGAGGGAACCTCTCTAGGTAAATCACCTTGAAGGACGGCCGGAGGAGATACATGGGAGAGATGCTGAGGAGAGATGGCAGGAGATACAACTGAGGGACGGTTGACTACTGATGGTGCATGTTGAAGACTGGCAGGAGTGACTGATGAGGATGAAGATAACCCTTCCCTGCTAACAAAGTGCTCAAAGTATTCTCTACATTTGCCCTTTATATCCGACAAGGGCTTGCCGACAATGCGGAGCTGAACTTCGCCTACCATGATATGAATACCATCTGGTGAGTTGTATCTGAAGGAAATAGATCTAGGAATCTCTCCAGCTTCCTTAACGAGAAGCATGACCTTGCAGTCCTTAGCATCAGCTTTAAGGAGAACGTCGTCAGAAACGGAAATAACATCTCCTACCTCCTCAAAAAGCTTCATGAGGAAATCAGGGTCCCATAGATGGAGAGGGAGATCCAAAATCTGGACCCAGATATAGACAGAGCTTGGGATAGCTTTGAGACCCTTATTTTCTGTCCATGGAGAGAAGACCCCACCAAAGGTTCCCATGTCGAAGAAGTCCTTTCCACAAGCTAGACAGAGGGTTTCCTCTTTAGGGAATTGAATGAAGAAGGAGGACGCTGAGATGCGTCTGATCTTGTACGATCATTTTTCCACATTAAAATGAAATTCCAAGTTCTCAATCAGCTCTGCAACGGAAGGATTCCCCATTTGGACTTCAAAGAAAGCATAGGATGAGTATTCCTCGACATTCGCCAACACCGAAGGTGGCAGATCAATGAGCGGAATGAAGAGAGCAGGCGGATGAGAGAGAGGCGGGGGCGAAAAGGGGGGCGGAGGGTTAAACCTGTTAGGGTAGTTTTTGGAGGTGTGACCCACTCTGTTACAAGCGAAACATTTGAAATCTCCGACAGGACAAAGATTGGCCATGTGGGATGTGCTGCCGCAGAGGAAACACCTTGGAGGTTTGCGGGGGGCTGAGGGAGCTGCAAGCTGTGGGACTCTAGATTTCTTTTTATAGGATACAGTGGTCCAGCCTTGGTCTGGTAGAGGAAGAATGCCCTCGAAACGAGAAAAAGGCTTACGAACAGGAGAATGACTGGAGTGGAGGTTTTTGAAGAGGTTTGCAAAGGAAGAGTAGGGCTTTGCTGGAGGTATTACATGCTGCTTCTGAATGCTCTTTGGCTTAGGGGGGGCACTATCTGAGATAGGGGAGGCAGGAGAGGGGAGAGAGAGGGGTGACAGAGATGTTACCGTTGATGATGTTGACCAAACGCCGCCTGGATGCTGGTGCTGCCGCCTGGGAAAGGACGCCTCCTTTTCGCCTCTCCAATCGCCTAAGCGCTCTCATTTCAAATTCAAAAATCTGCTCTAAAATCCACCTTTTAGAACTTTGATACCTCAAAATTTTATTTTTGACACTTTGATACCCTAAAGTTTAGGATGATAAAGTTAAAAAAGGTGTAAACTTAAGGGTATCAAAGTTTAAAAATGTAAATTTTTTGGTATTATCAAAGTGTCAAAAAATACTTCGGGTATCAAAGTAAAAGAATGTAAACTTTAAGGCATTAAAATGTCAATTAAAAGCTTTGGGGTATTAATAAGAGAGATGTAAATATTAGGGAGCAATGTGCATGATGGTCACTTTGAGTTTTCACCACAACGTAATTAGGTTCCCTATTCAGCTAACATCGATTTTGATTTGAAAACAATTTTCCAGAATCCTCATGGACACGGGCACAATTATTGGGCGGGTGTCCAGTCGGTAATCACTTATGGCAGTTAGGGGTTCGGTCCGGATACGGTTCGGACATGATGCTTATCATATTCATATTCGCGTATCTATCTCGGATACAGATACGAATACGGATACAGATATACATCAATAAAGAAAATTCATAACCATATCCGCTAAAATCGGATACGATTACGGATATACATGCTGATATATAAGCGGATATGCATGCAGATACAAAACGGATATGAAAAAACTAGTTAGTATTGAGAAAAACATAGTTCATGTGATATAAAAGAGTTCGTTAATATGTTCATTATAGCTAAAAAGTTCAGAGTAGACATCTTGATCATCAAAATTAACCACAAATACATAATCTAAGAATCGAAATTATCGTAAGAATATGACTAATATGTATTCAGATATTTCGGATACGGATACTTTACTACAAAACCATATCCGTAAACATATCATATTGGTTATAGATTTGAGTAAACATATTTGTATCCTAACGGACGGTTATGAATATTTTCTCGGATACGGATACGATTTAGCACCCTAATAGCAGTGTCAGACTTCCTCGATAACGGAAAGAAATCAAGCTCCCGAAGAAGAGAGTGCCAAAAAAGTTGAGTTTGCATTTTTTTTGAAAGAAATTTATTTCAGACTCAAAATAATGAGGCCAATTATAAGATCTTGCGATGCCTCTTCATGTTAACCATCAGAATATTATAAAAATGGAGTTCAAACTCAGAAAGGCCCTTGTGGTTTGCGCTGTAAATCTATTAAGCCCCCAAACTATTATTTGGATCTATTAAGCCCCTATGCTTTTTATTTTGAATCTATTTAGCCCCTATGATGTTTCTCCATAACTAAAAAAGGGTATTTTTGTCTTATTGAATCTACTTTTTAGTTATGGAGAAACACCATAGGGACTAAATAGATTCAAAATAAAAAATATAGGGGCTTAATAGATCCAAATAATAGTCTGAGGGCTTAATAGATTTATGACGCAAACC